ATGAATGAATGAATGAATGAATGAATGAATGAATGAATGAATGAATGAATGAATGAATGAATGAATGAATGAAGTATTTCACGGATTTCCAATGAGGAAAAAAATGCTTAAAAAGCTGAATATCTGAAAAAGTTTAAAAGCTACAATTACTAAATGTCAGAGCAGGAATATCCTGAACGAGCTGAACGTTTTCATATAGAAATTGTTGAAATAACTGTGGAATAAAGACCACAAACCGTACGGGGGAAACTATAAGTTAGAAGAATAAAGAGAAACACGAAAAACAATAAAGAATCATCTTGTTTCTCACCTCATCGTCCAGGTGTTTCCTGTAAAAATGACTGTGTTGCTCCTGAAGCTTCTGCAGCTCAGCTGTTAGACTGCTCAGGGGCGGGCCGACGTCGCACGAACTCTGAGTTTCATTTCTGCAGAAACTGAAACTTAAAGCTCCTGAAGGCTCTGTCTGAAGGACAGAGATTAGAGTTTAAGTTTCATTTYGAGTCAAAATGTTACCAAACCTGAAACACAATCACCTGCAACAATTATTAATCTTATTAGACTGAAACTAACTCCTAATCTGCTACATCGGCTCATCTTTGCTTCCTGTCAATTAAACATGYTTGATTTCCATTTATTGTCTGTGTTCACACATACTGAATACAAAAATGGCCGAATTCATTACAAAGCTGCTCTCAGTCAGATTTTGTCCTGCTTTTGTTGTAAAGAAACAAAAAAGAGTCTAAAGTTGTGTGTAAAAGAAGCCCCGCTAAGGATACGTTTTCTGAGGCAGTCGTTTTTAAAGCGCCGCCAGGCTCCTTTTCCGCTTTGATAAAAATCTAATTTTTCAACATTTGCTTCATCTGATAAAACCGTCMTAGGTGTGGATTGAACAAACCATCCGTGCCGTGAATTCGGCTACATTTAATTTAAYGTGTGTTGATCTGTCAGGGAGAAGGAAGAGGCAGAATATCCTCCTCTTCCTCCAGCTAGCTTTTTTAGCCTGCTTTCGGAGCGCTCCTGCGCGCTCCCGCCGAGTGCGCACGAAGCTCGAAAAGCTGTGTGAAGCTGACACCCCACCCACACAAAAAATCCAAACAAGTAAGCGGATTGGTTAGTGCTTCGTTTGTGCAGGTTTGTGCAGTTAAAATGAGCGTTTGTGCTGTTATAGTTTTTGAGATATTAAACATTATGTCTTTAGCTCATTATGACGTCATCACCCCCCAGCAAGCTCCAAAATGAAACAAAATAGTCAACTTTTTTAGTGCTTCGTTTGTGCAGGTTTGTGCAGTTAAAATGAGCGTTTGTGCTGTTATAGTTTTTGAGATATTAAATATTATGTCTTTAGCTCATTATGACGTCATCACCCCCCAGCAAGCTCCAAAATGAAACAAAATAGTCAACTTTTTTAGTGCTTCGTTTGTGCAGCAAAAATTTTCATTTGTGCTGCTTTGGCTTTGAAGATATTAATGAAAGCGTAAAGGTCAACCAGCCCCCCCACTTTTATGAAATCAAACAAAATTGGTGTCAAATGTTTGTGCTACGTTTGTGCTACGTTTGTGCAGCAAAATTTTTTGTTTGTGCCG